AAAGACCTGCTTTAGTACATTTTATCTGATAGCCTTATCGCGTCATGATTTATTTCATATTGCCCGATACATTTTAACTTTATTTTTTTCATACGATAAAAAAAATAAAGTTCGAATAAAGAGAGAAAGAAAAATATCTTTAAATCAGATTTAAAAGAGATCTCGGTACTTACGTATTAACGCCACCGCAGCAAAATTTCGCTGATGCGCCAATCTACACCATAAATTGCTGCGACAAATCATAGAATAAAAAACTTTATTTGAAATCTAAACCCTTTCAAAATTCAAAACATTTTATTTATAAAAAGTAGTCAATCGGATTTCGGTGGAAAATGGGCCGACATAGAATTTAACATAGATTCAAAACAGTCTCTATTTTCTTTCACCTGCTGCTGTCGCCATATAAACTCTGATAAATAAGATTCCAAATGATGTCTCGCATCTTGTTCTGTTTTTGGCAAATCCCAAATACGCATTTTCATAGCACTAAAAAATGACGAAACCCTGACGCAACCCTGACGGTTGCTGTGTGCAAACAACAAGGTTGTTGTGTGCGAACAACAAGATTGCTCTTTATTGGCGCATTAGCGGAATTTTTGCTGCGGTGGCGTTAATACGTAAGTACCGAGATCTCAGTACCGAAATATCATTTGTAAAAATAGACAAAAATAAAATAAAATAAAAAAAGAAAGAAAGAAAGATGTCCGTTAAACGTAACAAATCCAATGAACCATTTCAAAATGGCGCAAGATATAATAAAATATAAAAAAAAATAAAAAAGATAAATAGAAAGGCTATTTAACATTCCGTCTCATTTCCTGCAAACGTTCTTGACATGGGTGCCTTCTTCCCCTCCCCATAAGAAAGAGAGGAGAACCAAGCGATGGTTCGTTCGCAATGGATGCGAAAATTGCTTCGGCAAGAATTATCGACTATAAATTACTGTTGGGTTGGTATTCTAACCTCTAGGTTCCACCGTTACTCATGCAAATGACGAGGCGCAGAGCACTGTGCGCGCGTAGCCCGCGGTCGAGATATTACTACTACGTACCTTCTACTATCCTTCGGATACTCCTCGCCGTTTACCTTCGAGTTATATGGATTCCAAATGGAACGTGGAAAGAACAAGAGAGAGAGAGAGAGAGAGAGAGAGAGAGAGAGAATGATCCAAAATACGCCTCGAGGAAATGTAACTCACAGTATCGGGGCGCGAATTGCCAAGCATTTACATTTTATTGCACTCGGTCAAGACAGACTGCTTTTCTCAACCCTTCACCCCTCATCCCTTTTCAACCTCTTGACGAGTTTCTCTTCCTTTCATCTCCTTGCTTAAGTACCTACTTCGTTCGACACGGACAAGACCCGATTTTTCATGACCATTGTTCATTACAAATAAAAAGTATCGATCTCTTTTAGTAAAAGAAAGAAACTATTAGGTGGTTCGGAAAGTCGTTTCGTTTTTTGCTAACGCAATAATGGTATTAGTTGATGCAAACCGACAAATAGTAACACATGAGATCGATAAGAGGTTAAATTTATCAAATTCAACTATTTATGACCACTTGAAAGGTTTAGGTTTAACCTCGAAGCAAAAATTATCTTCATTTTTATAAAAGAAAAACGAAACGACTTTCCAAAGCACCTAATATAAGTGTAAAACAATACAAAATAAGATGGATTTTCAATTTTCTTGATTATCAACGAAACAAATACATGTCCTAGGTGAAATGAATTCATTTCGTAATTGTAACAAATGCTAGCTTAAGATCTTCGCGGGATTTTAATCACTCAAATGAAATACCAGAGAACAAAAGCGAGACAAAAAAAAATAATCACATCTTTTGCGAAGTAATCTACCTTCGGAGTTTATTGCAAAAGAGTTCCTGCATTATACACTGTATAAAATAAAATAAAAATTTCGCAACGTGCCAACACTCGTTTTATTATTACCGTGAAAATATATTATCTTAAGCAGATGCAGAAAGAGAAGAGAAGAGAAGAGAATGAGAAGCAAGCAATCCTATAATTTCGATGGAAAAGATACGACACGCTTGTACGTGCGTAACTATTTGAGGACTCATAAGAAATCTTGAAATTATACACATCCTTCCTATTATCGTGTCGCGTACCGTTCCCCCTCTATCATTACGCGTACGTTATCGCACATACACGTGCATACAACTTGCAGTATACACGGGCCAAACCATTCGACCAACGTTAGTATAGTACTCTTTATTAGAAACTTATGTATACTTTTGTGGCGACGAAGTTTAAAAGCCGTGTCACAACACACAACGTTTTTGCATACTTTCTATTTAATTTTTTTCCACTCTCCGAAACATTACAAAGCCCTCGAAGGCTTTTGATTCAATCTTTCTGACGAAAGTCTCTATAAACATACTAATTGTATACCAAGGAGATACAATTGAACAATGATCGAGTTCTATATTTGTATATTCAAATTTATTCGATAAAAAGTAACACATGCAATACGTAATTTTCAACATTTTTATATTCTAAATACTCGTTAACACGTTCGTCGCCCAGCCCGTTTCGGTTGAATTTCTCGTCAGGCCCAAAATTCGACTGTCGGCGTACCGTAACGTAAAGAAGCGATAAGTAGAAATATCAACAATGCAACCCGAGTATTATGGTTATATTATATTATTATATTTTATTTACCGAAAATAATAAAATATAAAACTATCTTTTATTTACCGAAAATAATTTTGTTTCGAAATGGGAAATGTGATAAGTTTTTCCAACTAAAAATACTGTAACTTCAACAAGAAGAGCGTCACCGTATACGGTGACGGGGCCCGCGGGGAAACATGCCCGTCTCCGGTATACGGTGCCATGGCGACGAACGTGTTAAACCAATTATTTCTATTCGTGTCTTTGAAGCTGAATAAATATTCTAATATCAATACTTACTATAATATTTTACTATCAAAGTTAAGGAATGTGAAAACCGTGGTCAGAGTAACTTAAGGTGCTACCGTTTGTTCACCTAAATATATTTTTTGCTATCTATATTAAGCGAAAATGTTGATTTTTCCATCGAAATGCCGTGTAAGTGAAATATCATTGATTCGTTCGTTTTCTCAGAGTACGATAGAGTAAAAAAAAGAAGAAAAAAGAATAAGAAGAAGAAGAAGAAGAAGTAGAAGGAAAAAGTAGAGGGCTTGGCTATTGTGCTGCCTCTAAATTGAATTTTTTTTCAATTCATTCCACTTCGCGGTGCTGAGAGAGGTTTCGAAGTCGATGGGTGTCTGTGCGCGACAGCGGTACCTGCTAGTCGTAAATTCTCATTATTTTTAAATTGGAAATGAGAAGTGTACGTGCGTGCTGCGGAAAGAGAGAGAGAGAGAAAATAAAAAAGATCAAGAGAAAGGGACGATGATGAAGAAGAAGAAGAAAGCTTTTGGTAAAAAGAGGAAACGAGTGTACATCATTCACCGTAAACACGCCTATTCTTACGTGAGAAGTAGTGTCAAAGAAGTTAAGTTAATTACGTACTGACTTGTTTGTCGATAACAGCTATTATTAGAAAAATCACGTCAAATATGAAGGATCCATATCTTTTTGTTTCTTGTAATTAATACCATCTCTTACGGTTTCGTCAAATTTAGATCTATGTAAATTACTAATGTCAAATAGTACTTACGTATTAACGCAACCGCAGCAAAATTTAGCTAATGCGCTAATTTACACCTTAAATGGTTGCGACAAATCATAAAATAAAAAACTTTATTTAAAATAAAAACACTTTCAAAATTCAAAATATTTTATTTATAAAAAGTAGTCACACATAATCGGATTTCGGGGGAAAATGGGCCGATATAGAATTTAACATAGATTCAAAACGGTCTCTATTTTCTTTCACCTGATGCTGTCGCCATAACCCTGACGAAACCCTGACGCAACCCTGACGGTTGCTATGTGCAAACAACAAGATTGTTGTGTGCTCTTTATTGGCGCATTAGCAGAATTTTTGCTGCGGTGGCGTTAATACGTAAGTACCTGTCAAATAATTGAAAATTCAATTTTTCTAAATTTAGATATAACGTATTAAAACTAATTAAAACCAATTCAAATTAATCGTTTGAGGTCAAGCAAATCTCCATTCTTTAATATTCCCAATATTTTGTTCAATATAAATATCATCGATATGAATAAAGATTTATCTTTCTTTCCTAACATATTCTATTTTGAAAAATCTATTAGAAATACGAATAGACTAATAATCAATAGTTTTAATATTAATATATGTGTAATCTTTTAAACTTCAATCAATATATTATTTTCTTTTGATCATTTTATCATCTCAGTGACTATATTCCATTAAATTTGGAATGAAGGTTTTCCTGATATAATGAAAACACTATATATATTAACTAAAAAATAAGTTACCTGTTTTAATAGTTGTCATCGTCGCTCCTGTTAATTTTGAATTTCCTCATTTATCACTGAATTCAACAAATTGTAAAAAATAAATTGATAATAAAAAGAACCAACCTATTATGATCCGTTACCAACAATCGTCAAATCTGGATTACGAAAAAAAATGTGAAAGGTAATTGATTATATTGTTGTAAACAAACGATAAATTTATAACTGAATATCGCAAAAGATCAAACAAAACCATTCGTATTGATTATTATAAAAAGAAAAGAGTTAATAGCATCGTAACAGCACGCACAATTTTTTTTTACATTGGTCAGACATATTTGTTCTTCGAACTACTTTGTATTTTTGAATTTGCATATACAGGGTGATAAAATCATATTTAAAAATTCTATGCAGTATACTAAAAAAACAAAGTCTCAAACGATAAAATGTTGCATTTTTTCGACTTATTTATACGCATAGAATTACCCCCTGTCCAGTTGTCTCACCAGATACATAATACTATGTATAATACTATATTGAATTATAATATATAATTTGAAGTATAATAACTTAATATATATATATATTGTAACGGCACGCACAAGGAATAGGCAAAATTAATGTTTATTCAATCAAGTACGTGACAATAGTTTTATCGTGATATGAAGATATACAACAGACAGTTTCTTCAGCTCTCTGTTTCCACTAAATAATTACCAATCGAAGATTACAAGCACCGTGTATGAAAATGATTGAAAGAATCAAAATAAAAGTAGAGAAGAGTTAGCTACATTTAAGTATAACTGAAACTACGTTTTATATATCGCGAGAAATGATTAGTTTGAAACAGATCTTTGCAGGTTCCGATGCGACTAATTGTAAGATAAGTAGTCGAAATCTGTAAAGTATGATATTTAGCAGTGTACAACGGAAGTTGTGGAGTATATTATATTATCAAACACTTAAATGGTAATATATATTTCCATTCCTTCATAACTATGGCACATTTAACTACCGTTCCACTATTAGAGCAGTAAACGACCTTACACTTTCACAGAAGTCCGGAAAAAAAACACTTTCTTTTGCCCATCCGAAACGTTCATTCCCATAGCGCGGGGCGCGGGCGTTCAAACATACTTCCACTTATGAATTTGTTATACTTTTGTTTGTTTGTTAATATATTATTATCATTAAATCGCTCACATGCAGAATCTCCGATTTCCAAAGACCAATGACTCCTCTAGATGTAGTATAGCATAAATGTAGTGTACCTGTCAAACAACCGAAAGTTTAATGGATCCTTATTAGCCGCTCGGTCGTCGAATAGAATAACATGTTTCCATTATTATATTTTTTCTCATAAATGCCGCCTATTAAGTCTCCAACGGACTCGCCAAGTTCGCGAGTTTTGTACTAATAATTGATAGTGAAGACATCCCACGATACAATAACGGGATTAATTCAATGCGATTTGGTTATATGTATATTGTCCAAGAAAGATCATACCACGAAGTTTAAACAACTCGAAGAATGCATTCTAGTAAATCGTCTGTAGGATGCATTTATAAGTAATAATGCAAGTGATTAGTACCTTTAACATCGACTATACAATTATTGCTATGGAAGCAGTACGTTGATTCAGAATCTCGATAAATTCAATTGAATTTTTGCAACGGATACAGATTGCATCCGGAACGCACGTGTGTCTATCATATTGTCTTTATGTTATCTAGTCTATACGTACAGTTAAAATTAGAATAGTTATCCCCCATTTTCCGTGCCTGCAAATGCACTACAAATTCATTTGAATTCACCAACGACGCTGAAGTAGCGTAACTTATAACACATTATATCGTATATATATAGTATATATATATATATATATATATATATATATAAACAGCTTTTATAACGCAGAATCTTTCCTACTTTGATGTGTATATGTGTATAATGTGTGTTATATATGTGTATGTGTATTCTTTAATTTTTGTCTCATTCCATTGTATATATATATATATACATTAGCGTGTCTAGCAGTAACTACAATCGATAACAATTATACATTCTTATCGGCGTAACGCGGTCTCGCAGTGGCCCGTTTTTTCTCCTGCTAAACCCGCCTGCGTGGTTAAAATATATACTTCATCATTCGACGTTTTTATCCAATGCTCTGCACGTTCGACTAATTAACTACATTTTTATTGTCAATACATTCGGAGGATAACGTCGCTGCACCTGAAATTGTAACTACTATATCTTTAATACTTTCTGCTATCCAAGATTAAACACTCCCATCTTCTTCTTTATATAAAACAAGATTATAAGTATAACGATGTTTTATTATCGTTTCACTCAAACCGATTGTTCCCGTGGTATCTTATTTTCTTCTCATTTCATTAACAACACAGAAGACCGTAGTGCAATGAGATATAAGTGGTGCAGGACGTCCGAATGAATTAACGAGTACCATTGATTAAAAGGCGAATTATTTCATAATTGCTCGTATTGACTCCAGTATAGCACGATCGTCGTCTCATCTCGTCTCACTCCTTTATTATTTTTTAAGCGGTCATACTATAAGCTCTTATCGAACCGCCTTTTTCGCGTCTCTTAATGTTTTTTTTTTTTTTTGGATAAAGAATATGATCAATGTCGTTGATGTTGGGAAGTGACCTCGGTATGTGTAATCGCCTTACTCTACCTACCATTCGCTCTATTTCGTTTCGCTAATGTGTGCGTATCTAGAACCTGTGACCAGCACAGATGATCATGAATGTGTGTACGTGTAATATATGTGGTGTACATATGTTTGTGTGTATTTCCTTCTTTTTTTCCTATCATCTCAACCCTATATTCTATTCATTCGTACATTCAACTTCTCTCTTTCATATTCCTTTTTATCTATTCAACCTCATTCTCCTACTTCTCTCCCTCTCTTGAATACTTTCACTCTACTCACTTTTTGGCCCCACATACATGCTACTTGCCGTAGCAGCATACACGCGGAGCTTGTAATATATTTAATTTAGCTTTCTTATCAAAGAGATAATAACTCATGGATAAATCGCAAACGCTAACTTGCATGTTATTTCCGTACTCGTCCATATGAATCGCATCCAGATTCGTATCAGGCTATACTCTCATAGCTGGTACCATTTCTTATCCTTGTACTTCAGCATCAGGCCGTGTGCCGACGTTGAAAAGTTTTCAGCCTCTGACATCATACGAGCCGTTCGTTCCTCTAGGTGGGATAATTTTTCTCCACGCTCCAATACCATATGATGTGCTTGAGCAACTTCACCGGCAATTCCGGTAACCCGTTCTCTCATATTTTCCGTTGCTGCATTGGGTCCTGGGATGTGTTTAGCCACTGTACGAGAGGCACGACCACTCGATTCACCAACTGAAATGTATCAAGTCTTTGCTGATATTATTTATCACAAGGATAGACAATAATATCATTGGTATATACCTACATTTTTGAAACGAATTCTTAAATGAAATTATTAAAGAGTATATTCTAATTATCTTATAGCTAAACAATTTTCAAATTGATCGTGTCTATACAAAGCGTGCTGCGTGTGAAATATATTATATATATATTTCTTAGCGAAAGACAAACACCTTAATAAAACATCTTATCAGGTAAGCAAAAATAAATAATATTTCGGAATGAGGGTACTTACGTATTAACGCCACCGCAGTAAAATTTCGCTAATGTGCCAATTTACACCATAAATTGTTGCGACAAATCATAAAATAAAAAACTTTATTTAAAATCAAAACACTTTCAAAATTCAAAACATTTTATTTATAAAAAATAGTCAATCGGATTTCGGTGAAAAATTGGCCGATATAGAATTTAACATAGATTCAAAACAGTCTCTATTTTCTTTCACCTGATGCTGTCGCCATAACCCTGACGAAACTCTGACAAAACCCTGACGAAACCCTGACGGTTACTGTGTGCAAACAACAAGGTTGTTGTGTGCGAACAAAAAGATTGCTCTTTATTGGCGCATTAGCGGTATTTTTGCTGCGGTGGCGTTAATACGTAAGTACCGAAACAAGTAATACTGAATAAGAAAAACTTACACAACTCTTCTCTATCGAGACTTCTCGTACCACCGCCAAACAGGCCCCTAAAGAAACTTTCCTTAGGTGGTTCTGGCATATCGTGACAAGTAAACAAATCTCCCATCATTTCGGTCAACTCTCCGCTAAAAATGACAAGCTTTGTAATTTCAAATAATAATAATAATGCACGTGTTAATAAAAATGAAGTGTAACATTTATAAATGAATGAAAAAGTAATTTTATTCGTTGTCCTACCAGAACTCGCTTGATATTGAAAACTTCTGTATCTCCGCAGGTGATGACAGATACAGACCGTGGCCACGATTACTGAAGCAAAGAGTCTTCGCAATTCTGAAAAAGAAGACATTCGTAGGAATTTTAATACAACGTACAAAGTTACTTGTAACACTTGTTTCATACATAGAAAATAAATAATAACAGGGCTGATTAATAAAATGTGTTTATAATGTGCGTTCGCATACATAGCATCAAGCTTCGGCTAGGTGAATAATAGATTAATAGCTTAAAAAAGACGTTAGAAGAAGAAGGATGTTAAAAAAAAAAATTATGTAACGTTGCTCAGATGTGCTTAATGATCCATAACACTTATTGTTAACAAAAAAAAAAAATTAACGAGAAAAAAAAAGTAAGTGACGCGAATAAGGCAGGATATAATTTCACTATGTATCATGTAACATAGATTATTGGGAGATTTGTTATTTCATAAATGACTTACTGATCGGTATCGCCATTAACAAACAGTTGATGACCCCATATGGACAACATGGGGTCTACAATGCCGTGTTTTGTAGTCTGAAAACTGTTAGAGATTACAGAGACAGGAGGAAGATAAGCAGCCGACCGTAACGGACGTTAAAATAATTATTAATTATAATCGTCTGATAGAATATTTTATAAAGCTTCCTGTCTAGTTCTTCGAACGCGAAAAAAATCTAATAATATGGTATGTGAAAAATCTTGTTTGCATGGTTTTGTTTTTTTCCTTGCTGCACGATTTCTACATTCTCCAACGATATCATATAATAATCAATAAAATATTATTCAATTTTACTACATAATATGTATATATTATTTACATACATATAATATTGATGTGTTATCGACCTAAAAATGAAAGAATCTTTGAATCTTTATATAAGATGTGATTGTACGAATATAAACTGTGCGATAGAAGTGCTCTTTGAAAAAATAATTCATGCCGTGATTGTGTCGAGGATCAACGTAGTGCTTTGATTAATATCGTAGACGAGAAAAGTCGCATGCCATTATTAATTTGCTACTACTTTTCTAGAATTCGAAATTGTTTTTAATAGATTCTACATAATAACATTAACGATAATAATCAAAATATATTTGATCACAGAATATTACAAATTCTTATTCGTTCAAAATATAATATATATTGAAAAATTTTGCACTGCTTTTTATACTTAGCATAAAGCTAGCTTTATATGTATTATATTTTATAAATTCAAATAGCAATAGAATACGTTTCGTCCGCACTATTCGACAAGAGCCAAGCCATATTTGAATTATGTATTATTCGATTACATGCACCAATAAAATTCAATGTATATTACAAATATTGAAAATTTATAATATCAAAATTGAAGCAATTTTGGTGCAGCTTGAAGCTTAATATTTTGAAGAATTTAAAAATTACGAGACACTTAATGGACAAAATTTAGAACGTAATAAAAATTACTGCTTCAAAGAGTATCAGAATAATTTGCTAGATAAATTGTCAAAAGAAGCATAAATATATATATATATGTATATATAAAATATTAATACCGTGCCGATCTTACGATAGATCTTCGCAATGTAATTGCTACTATGAAGCTTTCATATGATTTCATTATCATATTATATTATATTATTAGATTATATTATATTATATAATGTATTAAATATATATGTACATGTGCATAAGTAAATCGCGTTTTATACGCTGTCAAATATATTTATGAGCTTTGCTTAAACGACGAATTATTAATAAATAATTTTGCGAGTTAACATCCATTTATAAAAGGAAAAACAGTTGCTCTAGTAGTAGGTTAATAAAACTATTTCATTAGTAAATAGCATTAATAGCTCAAATATAAATTTGTATAGCTGGATAATATTGAAATATTATTACAATCAAAGTTTTTTAAACGTAGAAGCGCGTTATCAGTTATTTCAAGAAAATCGATCAATTTTTACAGATTTATTAGACAATAAATAAGACTATTTAATAGGCAATCCGAGAAACAAAATGAATGTAATTAAACATTTAGCTTACCTCAAATCTGTAAGTGGTAAAAAATCGACGTCTATGAGGGGCCTGAGACTGGGTAGACTATACGTAGATACGTGACCATTTGAAACGTAACATACCAGACAGACGTTATCTGAAAAACTCAATCTTATCAGCAAAGTCTGAGCAATTATTTATCAACAAAGTTATTCATCAAAATGTATTATATTTGCAAATAGAATGCTGTTTGTCATATTATAAAATCAATTTTCATCTGTTAATTAGTCAACAGTGATGGTAATAATAAATCTAGAATACATCATAGAATTAAGTTCTAATTATAAGAATAAAAAATGGTTATTACCTTTCAAAGTCGTAACTTCCGCCTTGATGACAATATGAGTTTCTGCCAATTGTTGTCTATAAACGCAATCTTGTGAGGGTAAAGCCACAACCCTTGCTTGTTTCTCAGATGCCAAAACGACAAATTGTCGATCTTCGAAACCATCCCCGGTCGTAACTTGAGTGTTCAAGGACGGTGATAATCGGCTATTGCATTTTCCTTGGTTCTCTTTAACAAGCATCAAATACAGTTATCCGTTATTCTATTTCATGTCATAAACAGAATTCAATTTATTTCAAACTAACATTAACATGACGAATGCAACATGCTTTGAAATAAACGCCGTCGGTATTTCTTTTTACAGTTTAATCATATTGGATAATGATATTGAAAAGATTACGCAATATTTTGTAATGTCAGTGACCATTATATATACCATGAAGCAGAGTGTTTTCTAACAAATAAGAAATATTTCAATAATAGATTTCAAACATCGGAATAATAAAAAAACTTCATACACGTATCTTAACTTTTCTGAAAGTGCAAGATATAAGTGCATACCACTTACAATGCAAGTATAAATTAGCAGTAACTTAAGTTCTTTAAATCTTGTAGATAAACAGTAAACCAATATCCAAGTACGCTACTTTAACTTCGTAAGAAAATGGAACAAGCTGTAACTTGGAAACAAGGTCACATTTGAGATATGCTTATAGGAACTTTTTGAAGTGAAAACTTCTTTAGAACAGGAGGAAAATATGTCACATCACTCTTCTATTATTTATTAATTATTGTTGAAAATTGTGAGAACATATACATAAATATACATGATTTTAAGTCATGGATCGTTCTCCAATAAAATTATGGACAATTTTTTAATCTTTTATTAGTTTTACGACGATCATTAAATGTCTAACATTGAATAATTTCAATCTTTAAAAATTTATTTTTCATGTAAGATACTAAATGTTATTCTAAAAATATTCACAACTAATTAAAAAATTAAATTACAATTTTTATCATTATTTATAAAACATTACGCTTGAAGGAATGCAACCCTCCAGACACACTTTAAAAATGTTGCTTGCGAGCGCCATCTGTTGGGACGAAATTTTTTTCTCTGCCTTAAACATAGGCAACCCGTAATACATACGTGTATGAACAGTTTGAGTTTAAAAAATTTTCCGCCCAAGTAGATGGCGCTCGCAAGCAACATTTTCAAAACGTGTCTGGAGAGTTGCATATCTACAGGCGCGCATTTTTATAATTATTCAATAAACAATTATAATAATTTTATATAATAAATTATCCTACTCCTGATACTAATGCACTCGTATTATTTTCTCGAAACTTGCTTTTTTTGAAGATTTCACTTTTAGTTTGTTTGATTTGCACACATGTTTTTCTTTTCTCTTTTTTGATGTCCTGAAGCCACCATTGCAATACTTTTCAATTATTAGGAAACACTCTCAGAAAACGCACGGAATATCATATGAGATAAAATAAAAATACATATTGAAACGTTACAAATAATAATATAATATAAAAATGTTAAACTTACTATTACGTTCTTTTCCTGCTTCAACATTTTCATCTTTCCAGGATTCAAAAGAATAAGGAATAAGTGCGCCATTGCAATCCAAAAATGACATCGACAGGATGCAACCCTTCAACTTAAACGTCGATCCATCTGCTCGCAAATAAAATATAGATTAGAATCCTAGGTATAAATTTTATAACTTATGTGAACATTATAATATAATCTAAGATCGTAAAAATCTTACTACATGTAGAAACAACCACAGGATATGCGTTTCTTTCCCCTGGGGCAGGTGCATTGAATACAATGGTTTGTATGGATCCCAGAGACGTACCAACCCATAAAGTGGGTAATGTGGTGGTATCTTGAAAGAATTCAATACACAGATATAATACAATACATTATTATACCAGTAAAATCGATTTAGATACAAACTCGTAAAGAGAAAGACAGTAGTTGTAAAATTTATAAAATAATGAATGAATATTCACAAAGTAAATTCGACTTACCGCTTTTCTTTGTATAGGAATCAGCGAACGTAAGGCAGCTAATGGTTTCCGTGGTGATATTCTCAAGCGAGGACATGCTTGAGCTCCGTGACCGTTGAAAGGAACCGTCATATTTGTCTATCCGGCCAGCGATCCCAAAAATAAACTGACGATTACATACAGAATGTGTAATTCGTTTAATCTGTCTACAAGCGTCATGCACGACAAACTCTACTACGATATATACTTTCACAACGCCTCGTACTTCAACGTGATCTTTTTTCTTGATTAATTGTTTTCAAATAATATCTGAATCTAATGTTCATCGATTTTTACTATTTTTTTTTTTTTTTTTTACTATGATGATACATTAACAATAAGAAATCAAATATATATTTTCTGTCCCATAAAAGTAAGAGATCACAATGATGTTATTAAAACACGATGTTAAGAGATAAATACATTACATTAAATATTAACAATGATACAATAATAATGTTACAACACAACGGGAGCGCCAGCTAAAACAACAGCGATATATCGACGCAAAGAACACTTTCAAACGTTTAGAGAAACAGCGACAAGAGAACAATAGCAAGAGCATTAGCAACGACAATAACAGCAACACAATACTACCATGACTTTTTAATCGGCAATCGGCATCGTAACATCTTTCATCACATCGCATCACACTCATCGATCGATTCCTTAATTTCTACTTTTCTTTTTTTTCTTTTTTATGTACGTAATTCGTAGATGATATATGCGATCATAAATACCTCAACTACGAGAGGTTTCATCGGATGGAATAATGCATCATTTTGGTAATAAAAAAAAAAATCCAAATTCGTAAAAAAAATTTCGAATGCTCGAATTTGCAGCGTCGTGGTGTTTTTATCGAAAGCACAAAAGCCTCTCTACGAGAGTACACACGCAGGATGATGATGATGATGATGATGATGATCGAGCATCGATTACGGACCAGCATAATAAAACACAACTAAAAAAGTTTAGCATCGAATGAACGCAAGATGATTTCTTAGAAATTTGGGCGGCAAATATGTATTAGGATAAATAGAGAGAGCCTCTCTCTCAAGGAAGTAGTAAATGTGCACGAGTACTAAATACAATTCCTCGATTAGATGTGCAAGCTTTTTCCTATCGATATCGAGCAAATAAAGATCGATCAATTTTAAAGATAGCTAAGATAAATTCTACTATTATTCGACGAGACTGAACACTACCACCCGTCGGCTCAAATATCTTACGGTAAAAACAATTAAGAGAAATCATTTCCTTCGTTCCGTTTCTTCTTAGGAAATTGGAATCGTCGTTGATTAAGTGAGCTTAGAATAATCGCCAAGCAGCGTTGTTTTAAATCAGCTGAATAAATTCAAGCCAATCATTCAATTCCTTCCTTTTGAAGTGTCTACAAATGGAAGTATCTATTTGCTGAAAACATTCGAACACTCGAAATGTTTATGTAATATATTATAATTAATAATGTAACTTGTACAAGATGAATTATATGAAATCCTATAACGAGTGGCAAAAGATATTCTAGTCACGGTAGAATGTTTGCAGCAGCATTTACACGCATCGATGATGCCACATAAGGTCATTTTAACGATATGTTACACGCCGGTTAAATGTGTTGGATATATTTCCTTCAGTAAAAGATTCTACGGGATCCAATTAAAGTTTCCATGTATGTGTATATATATATATATATGTGTGTGTGTGTGTGTATATATACGCGTTCTCGTACAGTTTGGATTATAAATTACTCAATCCGGTACCCACTTGTAAGTTAAAGACGCCGCCATTTATACGTATAAAGTTTCCTCGTTGAAAAGTTCATTAGATGGTGACTACTGCATAATGTATATATGTAATATGTACGTGCTGATTCATTTCAAGATTGACAATTAGTCATTATTTTTAATAGACAAAATATATATATACAATCAGTCCGATACACACGTCTTTAAGTTAACGAATTACCTTATACCATCTGTTAGAATCTTATCGAACTAACAAAGATAATCATAACTCTTTGTTAATAAACAAATAATTCGCAATAAAATAATATTGCGATTATAAATTAAGATATAAACTATCCTATCTTTCAAGTTGGATGAAACTGCACACAGTGTGCAAAATTTTATTAAAATCGGTTCAGTAGTTTAGGAGTCCACTGCGGACAAACAACGTGACACGTAATTTATATATATATTAAGAAGAAGATATATTGTATGTAATTACGTAAAAATTGTATCTTTATATTTTAATTAAAAATTCTTACAAGAACTTCATAAATAAACCGATAATTTATACAGGGTAATTCACGAAAAAACATATTCAGAACGGTTATAATTAACTTGCATTTTAACTTGTGCAATTCATACACACTAGTGCAACATTTTCTTACAACAGAAAGTGTTGACAACGAAACTTTGAGAGTGTTACATTGATTTTAACGTCAAGAACATTAAATATGTTCATCTATAACGGAATGAATCGTAGGTGTGGGCAACTTCTTTGATAATAAGAACTATGTATCATATAATATTGCATTGTAATATTACAGAATGAGTCAGCTAACACCGGCTACCCGAATAACTTCTACAATTTTAGTAACAGTAAAAGTTGTTTGTATGATGTGTATCATTTCTTGTTTTTCTAGGAAGAAGAAATGCTTAGAAAATTCAAAGGTCATTTTTTTTAAACGAAACTATGCATTTTTGAACACCTACAATTGTAGCCCTTTTCAGGAAAAATTCAATGCTCATCTATATTCAAGGTCATGGATATAAAAGAAAAAAAACCGTAGAAAAATTGAAATTAATCGTAAATGTTTCCAAAACAGAATACTCGTCGTTTAATTCATTAAATCAAACAAACATGTTTAAAATAGACACTGTAAATGTTCATTCGTGGATTGCATGTAAAGTTACACATTAGACTTTTTTTTCATGAATCAGCCTGCACAAAGTGTTGAAAATAACTCCATCATAGTTAGTTCGTTTCTTTCATTTCTCTACTTTTTTTTTTTGTAACTTTTTTTATTTTTAAGGACATGCAACGAAGGTTTTGCTTTGTCAATGAGATGAATTGAAGAGTCTACCGTCGCGACCAAGATTAATTACTTAAGATCTCCGAGAGGAAAATTGTAAGATATGCATTCGTGTGCAGTGAGAGAACTGACATGAGAAAGAAAAATAAAAATGAAAAAGAAAGCACGAACTTATGTGTGTCACATAGCATCATCGCGTATCATACATATATAACATACACACCAACAAAAATGTGGAGATGTATTTTACGTAAATAAATATGCGAAGAAGCTGTGCAAAATGTCACGTAGAAAAATGCAACCACCGTGCCAACGCAACCGTGCCGACGCAACCGTGCCGACGTTGTTATTTCGTAACATCACGTTATTTTGGAAATTTATTTATTCTCTTGATACTTTTTGAATTCTAGCACACGGTGACGAATAAAAATCCAAATCATCATCAACAATATAACGTCGAGAAAAAAAAAATATCAAAAATGTCGATTGAATTCAACCTCACCGCAGTAGTCCCGCCGTATATGCATTCAATTTGTATATACCTATGCATCTACATTTTCTTTTCTCTCTAATTTAATTTTTTTTATCCTACGATATGACGTACACGTATTGTTCTATAATATCTCTTTGATAACAGATAAGATTCTCAGTAACGATAATTAAACTCTAAATTGAGATATCGGTTTTTTCTTTCTTTTATTAAATTGATAAACCCTAGTATCTTACAAAATTCTTAATTCACACACGTATATTGTTAATTTTTATTTAGACATATTAGAAAAAAAATAGGAATTCGCAAAAAACAAACATAGTTAATCGCAAACAAAGATAATTCAATGTTATCGTTTAATTAGAATTTAATCATCAAACAAGGTGTACAAGTATTATTAACTCGAATGAATGAATTTAAAATGAGTTTAAGTAATAAATTGGAGTATTCGAGAAGGTCAGAGAACAAAGGACATTTAACGCGAATCAATAAAGAAGAAGTTTCGTGAATTGGATGACGACATACTTCTTTATAGTTCGCCGAGCGTACAAGTTTGAAATTTTATTGTAGACGTGGGCCCACTCGTTTAGCTTATGTTAGCTCGAATTCCCTCGAGAGACCAAAGGGACTTCTCTCTCTCCTCGATAAGAGGAGGACTCACTCTTCTTGTTGTTCGAGTTTCGATCGAACTTAACCTACGTTATATCTTATCGGATGAGAGAATAAAAGATATACTCGTATAGATACATCTTCTCTCTCCCTCCAGTTTGGTCTATATGCGTGCGCGCGCACAAAGTGATACAGATCGATATCAATACGGACCCCTATCCCTATCCCTGTCCCTATCCCTATCCCTATCCCTGTCCCTATCCCTGTTCCTATCCCTGTCCCTCCTTGTCACGGATCCACACCTTGAATACGACGCGATTGATTAAACGCGAAACAGCGCCGATTACGTTCCGTGAATGTTGCGATGAAAGCCAGAACAGATTGAACCGTCAGTCCTATGTGTATATATACATATATCTATATATATATATACAGTTAGGATCGTTTGTTCGTTAAACGGAGTAGATAATACTCCTGAATAAACTCACTCGCTTATGCAAGATGCTATTTCGAGATACATATTCTTGTCTTTCTGAAATACCCAAAAGTGCCTTTAACAGTTATTTACATTTTCTAGTGACACTTGAAGAAGAAGCTTGAATTAATTCAAGCCCATAGAAGAAAAAAAAAAAAAGAAGAAAAAAAAAGAAAAAAAAGAAAAAGTGAGGCCTTCTCGAACGATTTCTTAAAGATCTTAATCTTGCTATAAGTAAAAGGATAGAAAAGAGAAAATTGAAATATTACTTTGAAACTTTGAAAAATCTTCTCTGCACACTTTCTTGCTAACTTTTTTTTTTTATCTTATAAAACCGATTTAGAAAAACTCATGATCAAATTATTCCTACTTGAAACTGGTTACCGTAATCGATTAAATTTGTTATTATTTTTTTTTTCTAATCGTGTCGTCTAATTAAAGATCTACAGTGGTACACACACACACACACGCACACACACACGTGCGTACGCACGCAC